TGGATAAATGCCACACTTTTAAAATAGAAAAATCTTTGAAAAATCCAGAATTATTTTAAAAATCCAATAATTACTATTACCATTTTGTAAGATTTTATTATTTTTCATATGCTAAATTAGGTTACCTCAAGAAGATAAGCCAGTACCCAGGCTATGTTCATGGTGCTTGACAACTTGCTTCCACTGAACTGTGTACATGATGTAGGTAATGGTACAGCATGCTCTTCTGAGACTTTTAACCAACTCAGTCAGATACATTTTACATATTCATATGCACACATGTTATACATACATATATGTATGTGTGAATATATGTATGTATATATATATATTTATATAAATATATATACACACACACACACACACCAAAAAAAAAAAAAAAAAGGACAATAATTATCCCTAACATGGTACCAGCTAACATTTACCTTAGGCTTACTATGAACCTGGCATTCAGTTAAGCATTTTAAAAGTTTCTCCTTTAAGCTAAGCCAAGAAAGGAGTTTTGTTTTCTTTTGTTTTACCTACAAAAGGTAGATACTTTGATAGGCTACATAACTTGAAATGGTCTTACAAAGTAAACAGAAGTGAGCTACATTTTGCACCCTGACTTCAAAGCTTATGTTCCTAATTGCTGTCACACAGCTTTTAGATACTATTCTGTAATCTACTTTTTTCACTCAACATATCTACTCCATCTTTTTTACTGGCTGTATCATATTCCAGTGGTTAACTGTATTTTCCAATATGGGCACAATGTCTCTCTTCTAACGTGCTCTTCTTGCAATGTGATTCTAACACTCCTCCCATGACAAAGTGTGGTTTGTGTTCCCTCCCCCTTTGAATTTGGGTCAGTTTGACTACAGAGGAAGTAACAGTTATTTCAAGGTTAGTTCACAACAGATAATACTGGTTCTCTGCCTGATTCCCTTGGAATACTCTCTTGGAATCCTGGCCACCATGCCGTGAGGAAGCTCAAGCAGCCACATGAAAAGACCATGTGTAGGCATTCCTGCAAACAGCCTTAGCTGAGATCCCAGCCAATAGCATCTACCACCAAATTTGTGAAAACATCTTGATATCACTATCAACCAATTAAAAATATTATGTGAACCCCAAATGTGGGTCACAGATGTAACTTTAAATTTTCTAGCAGCCACATTAAAATCAATTTATGTAAATATATTTAACCCAACATATCCAAAATATAAATATATACATTTATATAAATAAATTTGACATGTAATCAATCATTTAAAAATTGAGATATCAGTTTCTCTTTGTCATACTAAGTCTTTGAAATCTGGTATATGTTTTACAGTTACAGCACTTCTCAATTCAGACTAGCCTCTTTTCAGCTGCTCAATAGCCACTTCAGGCTACTGTGCTGTGGCTGCTTCAGATTATTCCACCAACTGTCAATTCCCAGCAGAGACACAATCATAGGGTTATAAAGTTGTTCCTGCTATACTCTTTCTAAATTCTTTCCCCTGCACACATACACACACACACCATGCAGAATGTGGGATCTTAATTCCCCAACCAGGGATAAAATCGTACATTGGAAGGCAGAGTCTTAATCACTGGACCACTGGGAAACGACCTTTCTGAGTTCTTGATCCACAAAATCTATGGGCCTAACAAAATGATAACTAAGTTTGGGGTTGTTTATTATGCATCAATAGTAACTAGGATACCAGGCTATGAAAATCCTATAAACATTTCCCTACTTGGCTGTTTTTTCCATCTCTTTCCAGGATTTTATTACAAACAATGCCATGATGAGCAATACAATCTCTTTAAGCTAATTTAATTATTTCCTTAAATAGTTTGAGAGTGGTTTTTCTGGGTCAATGAGAATATATATTTAGTAGACTTTCATTCATATTATGAAACTGGTATCCAAAGATTAACCAGTTTTCACACTAACAATAATGCACATATGCCCAACTGTGCTGCTTCTGATTTATTTTGGCCCTTTTCTAGGTTCTTGAGTTGAATGTTTAGTTCCTTTCTTTTCTATTCCTCTATAATATTGCTTTATTTTACATTTTAAACTACCAGTGATATATTTTTATTGTAAAAGATCCAAGTAATGTGTAAACTATATAAAAGGGGTACCATTATTGAACGATTTGGCTTTTTTTTCCCCACTTAATGTCTTAGACGTCTTTCCCTGTCGGTTCATAAAGTTTTACTCATTAAATGTTAATTGATTAATTAAACGACTGCATGACAGCCCAAAGAATGTATGTGCTGTATTTCAAACATTGCCCTGGTGATAAGATACTTCAGTGACTTCAACTTTTCATTACTATAATTATCTAAAGACCATTTTACTATTTATAGAATTTTAGAAATAGAAATGTTAGGTCAAAGAGTAAAAGCTTTTTAAAAGTTGGTGGATATAGCAAAATCTATGCTTCTCACCATCACACTGTTAATTCAGAATTCTTTCGACATGTCAAGTGTGCCTGTTTTCTTGCACCTTCAAAAGCACCAAAGGGACTTCCCTGGTGGAGAATCTGCCTTCCAATGAGGGTTCAATCCCTGGCTGGGAAACTGAGTCCACATGCCATGGGGCTACTGAGGCCATGCCTCAACTAGAGAGCCCACGTGCTGCAAATTACAGAGCCCATGCACTCTGGAGCCCGTGGGCCACAACTAGAGAGAGAAAACCTGCACTCCACAACTAGAGAGAAGCCCACACGCCACAATGGAAGATCCCACATGCTACAACAAAGACCCGACACAGCCAAAAAAAAAATTTTTTTAAAGAAGCACCAAATATCTTATTAATTTTTGCCCAAAAGGCAAAAAAAAATGTGATCATTTTAATTCACATCTCTCTAAAGCTGGTCATCTCTTTTTAAATTTGACCATTTGGGGACTGTTTTTGACAACTGTACAATCATACCCCACACAACTTCTCCCCTGAGGTTTTTATATTTTTCTTATGGATTTTTAAGAACTCTTTAGATATTCTAAGTATTATTTGTTACATACAATGGTAGTAATATTGTCTCCAAGTCTGGTTCTTTGCATTTTAACACTGTGAAGCCACTGGTCATACAAAATTTTTTAATATTTATGTGTTTTTTATGGCTTCTGAAGTTTCTAATTTAGAAAGACAACTATGTTAAATGATAGAAGACACATGAATGTATGCTTGATTAAATATTTCAAACAACACAGCCAAAGTCAAAATTTCACTTCATCAAATCAATATCACAGTCTTCTCAAAGATAACAACTGTTTTGGCCTTTATTTTTCCAGATCTCTTTCTCTATATATATATGTGTGTGTGTGTGTGTGTGCACGTGCGTGAGCGCACGCATGTGCATGCATGTATATATTAACAAGAAATAGCTTCATTTTTTAAAATATAAATAAGACCATAATATATAAAAGCAACTTCTTTTTAAAGTTTATTTACAACATTTTGTTACTTTCAGGTGTACAACAATGTGATTCAGTCATCATATAAATACATGTTCTTCTTCAGATTCTTTTCCATTATAAGTTATTACAAGATATTGAATATAGTTCACTGTGCTGTACAGTAGGTCCTTGTTGTTTATCTATTTTATATATAGTAGTGTGTACCTGCTAATCCCAAATTCCCAATTTATTTCCCCCCCATCCCCACCTCAGCTATCCCCTTTGGTAACCATAGGTTTGTTTTCTATGCCTGTGAGTCTGTTTCTGTTTTGCAAATAAGTTCATTTGTATCATTCTTTTAGATTCCACAAATAAGTGATATCATATATTTGTCTTTCTCTTACTTCACTAAATATGATAATCTCTAGGTCCATCCATGTTGCTGTAAATGGTATTATTTCATTCTTTTTTATGGCTGGGTAATATTCCATCATATATATGTGTATCTATATACCACCTCTTCTTTATCCATTCATCTGTCAGTGGACACAAGTGGCTTCCATGTCTTGGCTATTGTAAATAATGCTGCAATGAACATTAGGGTGCATGTATCTTTTTAAATTAGGGACTGCTGGATCATATGGTATCTGTTTTTAGTTTTTAAGGAGCCTCCATACTGCTCTCCATAGTGACTGTATCAATTTACCTTCCCACCAACAGTGTAGGAGGGTTCCCTTTTCTCCACACCCTCTCTAGCATTTATTGTAGACTTCTTGATCATGGCCACTCTGACCGGTGTGAGGAGATACCTCATTGCAGTTTTGATTTGCATTTCTCTAATAATTAGCAATCCTGAGCATCTTTTCATGTGCCTATTGGACATCTGAATGTCTTCTCTGGAGAAATGTCTATTTAGGTTTTCTGCCCATTTTTTGATTGGGATTTCATTTTTATTCTTTTTAATTGAGCTGTATGAGCTGTTTGTATATTATGGAAATTAAGCCCTTCTCAGTCACATTGTTTGCAAATATTTTCTCCTGGTCCACAGGTTGTCTTTTTGTTTCATTTATGGTTTCCTTTGCTATGCAAAGTTTGATTAGGTCCCATTTGTTTGTTTTTGCTTTTATTTCTTTTTCCTCAGGAGACTGACCTAAGAAAACACTGCTATGACTTATGTCAGAGAATGTTTTGCCTATGCTCTCTTCTAGGAGTTATATGGTGCCTTACATTTAAGTCTTTAAGCCATTTTGAATTTATTTTTGTGTATGGTGTGAGGGCATGTTCTAACTTCATTGATTTATTACATGCAGCTGTCCAGCTTTCCCAACACCACTTGCTGAAGAGACTGTCTTTTCTCCATTGTATATTCTCACCTCCTTTGTCGAAGATTAATTGCCCATAGGTGTTTGGGTTTATTTCTGGACTCTCTATTCTGTTCCATTGAGCTATGTGTCTGTTTTTGTACCAATACAATGCTGTTTTGATTACTGTAGCTTTGTAGTATTGTCTGAAGTCTGGGAGGGTTAGGCCTCTAGCTTTGTTCTTTTTTCTCAGGATTGCTTTCACAATTCTGGGTCTTTTGTGGTTCCCTGTAAATTTTAGGATTATCTGTTCTAGCTCTGTGAAAAATGTCATGGGTAATTTGATAGAGATCACATTAAATCTGTAGATTGCTTTGGGTAGTATGGCCATTTTTACAATATTAATTCTTTGTAATTTGCCTTTTTACCTTATCAAGGTATCAAGGAGATATATCTATGGTTGTATATAGAGCTCTACCTCATTCTTTTCACTTGCTACATAGTAGCATTTAGGTTCTTGCTACATTTAAGTTCTTCAAATATATCGCTAGTACAAACCATACTACAATGAACATCCTCACAAATGAGAAGTTTTCCAGAATAGAGGATCACAGAATATATTCATTAGGTTTATAATTTATTGAATGTCTCCTCCTTGATGGTCAAAAAGGAATAAACTATCTCTGCATGATTTACCAAACTAACTACATTTGATGGCTCTTTCTTTGTTATGAATTTTCTTATGTTGTTTGAGGCTTGAATTCTGAGGAAAAGCCTTCCCACATTCATTACATTCATAAGGTTTTTCTCCTGTATGGATTTTCTGATGTTCAGCAAGGCCAGAGCTATGCCTGAAGGATTTCCCACATTTCTTACAGCAATAGGGCATTTCTCCAGTAAGAATTCTCTGATGTTCAGTAAGGGCTGAGCTCTTGCTAAAGGCTTTCCCACGGTCATTACATTGATGTAATGGGGTTTATTGATGGGGTTTATTTCCACTGTGAGTTTTCTGATGTCCAGCAAAGGATGAGCTATACCTGAAAGATTTTCCACATTTACTACAGAGATAAGGTTTCTCTCCAAGGTTTCTCTCCTGTATGCATTCTTTGATGACTAACATGACTTGAGCTTTTCCTAAATAAAGCATTTTCCACATTCATTACACTGATACTGTTTCTCACCAGTATGTATTCTCTGATGTTACAAGACAGCTGAGTTATCCCTGAAAGTTTTCCCACATTCATTACATTTAAATGGCTTCTCTCCACTATGTATTTTCACATAATGAGCAAGGCCTGAATTCTGAGCAAAGGCTTTCCCACAATCATTATATTTGTAGGGTTTCTAACCAGTATGAAGCCTCTGGTGACTTAAAAGAATAGAATTATTTCTGAAAATTTTCCACATTCATTGCGTTTATGGAGTTTCTCTCTAGAATGAATTTTCTGATGATTAACAAATGTTCACTGCTTCTTGAGGAAATTTCCCACATTTAACACATTTGAAACATTTCTTGCCTATGTAAATTTTATGATGATTTAAAAGAGATGAGCTGCTCGTAAAGGCTATCCCACATTCTTTACATTTATGGGGTTTCTCAGCAGTACGATTTCTCTGGTGGCTAATACAGGAGGAATTATATTTGAAGACTGTCCCACATTCCTTGCATTTATAGTGTGTCTTCTCTATGCAACTTCTGCCTTCCCAATCCAGGCCTCTTTCCATCATGACACTTTTTGTTTGTTCTCCCAATCAGATCTCTCAGAAGTATTTTGCTGTAGGGCTGACATCTTTGTTTCAAATATGTACTCCTGAACTGAAAAAAAATTTTTTAATTCAAATGTTCTCTATGTTGAAATACTGAAAATGAGAGCTGCACATGGATAAGAATAACATTCTATTCTATACAACTAAAGGTTATATAAAATTAATTCATACCACTTGTGATTCTTGCTAAGAAAAGATGGCAAGACTAAAGATGGGAGAAGTAAATAGGATCTAAGGAAATAGAAGTTATAAATATTGTGTTTAAAGAATGCAAGGAGCATCTAATAAGTTGGTAAGTTAGGAAGGTAACACAGGCAACACCAAAAAAGAAAAAAAGATAAAAATTTGAGGATAAACACAACTTTGGGGAGAAAACCAAGTATCACAAAGCAAGCCAGGATTACTAGGACAGACTCCTATAGGGAGGTACATTTGAGAACATTGTAATATAACACTGTACATCTCCAAGAATTTGAGAATAGCATTCCTCTGTGAGAATTTAGCACAGAACCAACATTTAATGGCTCAGAGATAAAGATATATACATACACACACATACACATATATTTATATTTTTATTTTTATATACATTTATATTTATTAGCCTGAAGAGAAATTCCATTCATCAGATACTAGAGCTAAGACTTATTTTTTAAATGCAAAATTGGAGGTGAAGTCTGGTAATAAACAGCCCAGATCCTTCAAATGGCCTTTGATGGGATATGTATTTAATGTGTAATGATTAAGCTAGAGAAAATTTCAAGGTTCTGATTGTAAAGGTAAATGGAAGCAAATCAGTCATATGAAGAGAAAGGCACTCTTATGGATTCATATTCTGTGACAAAGGTAACTTTGCAGAGCAGCGGTGAAAAGGAGACTACACTGGCATATTGGGGGGAGGGAGGAGTAAACATGAACCCTATCTCATACCATGCACAAAAATCAATTCTAACAGGATGGCAAATCTAAATGTAAAAGACAATCAATAAAGCTTCTAAAAGTTAACACAGAAGAGTATCTTTATAAACTGGAGGAAAGATTTATTAAACAGTACACAAAACACAATGACAAGAAAGGAAAAGATTAATAAAATAGAGCTCATTAAAATTAAAACCCCTATTCATCAAAAGGCCACTGTTAGTGAAAAGCAAACCACAGAGAGAAGGGCAATACAACACATATAATCAACAAAGAGGGTTTTTTTTAGTAGACACTCCATAAAAGATGACATATAATGGCCAATAAACATTTGAAATGTCCTCCTCCTCATTAGATATCAGGGATATGGATATTAAGACAAAATGAGGGACTTCCCTGGTAGCACAGTGGTTAAGAATCTGCCTGTCAATGCAGGGGACACGGGTTCAAGCCCGGGTCTGGGAAGATCTCACATGCTGTGAAGCAACTAAGCCCGTGCACCACAACTACTAAGCCTGCGCTCTAGAGCCTGCGAGCCACAACTACTGAAGCCTGCACACCTAGAGCCCATACTCTGCAACAAGAGAAGCCACCGCAATGAGAAGCCCACACACCACAACAAAAAGTAGCCCCCGCTCTCTGCAACTAGAGAAAGCCCACACGCAGCAACAAAGACCCAACACAGCCATAAATAAATAAATAAATAAAAGTAAAATAAAATTCTAAAAAAAAAAGAAAGACACTATGAGATACACGATACACCCGAAGAACAATTAACTTCAAAGGACTGACAATATTAAGTGTTGACAAGGATACGGAACAATGAGTACTCTCACACACTGATGATGGAAATATAAATAGGTACAAAACTTTGAAAAACTATTTGGCATTATGTACTAAAGCTGAATATATGCATATACTATAAACTAGAAATCCCACCCCAAAAGAAATGTATCCACGTATGAACCAAGCAATAACATATATGAAACGTTCATACCATTTGTAATTCTCAAAAGCTAGAAACATCCCAAATATCCATCCAAAATATGAGATAATGAAATACTCTATTGCAGTAGTTTTAAAAGCCTGGTCTCCAGATCAGTAACAACAGCATCAACATCACCTAAGAACTTGTAGAGATTTTCAGTCCACATTTCAGACCTAATGAATAAAAAGTGCTGAGGGTGGGGCCTAGCAATTATGTTTAAACATGCATTCTAATGATCCACAGGAAGGACAATGCATGAAAATGAATGAATCTCACAAAATGTTATGCATAAAAAGCCACATCAAAAAAATATATAGTTCCATTCATATAAAGTTAAAAAAACAGGCCAAAATAAATACAGTGTTAGTTCAGGAGGAGGAGGAGAGTGTGGCTAATGATTGGAAGGGATCAGGTATGATTTAGTAGAGTACTGCCAGTGTTCTCTTTCTTGAGCTGAGTGCAGGTTACATGAATATTCATTTCAAAAATACCAATTTAGACCATATATATATAAAATCTACTCTTCTATATATGTGTTAAATTTTAAAAAGGTTTTAAGAAAGAAAAAGGAAGGTTAGCTTACGACTCTCTTAATATTTTGATCAGAGAAATCAAAATGCTAACTGCAAAATATCTAAAAAATTATGACAATAAAAACTACAATACAACCAAAACACTGCACAAACAGAAATTTACAGCTTTAAATATTTATATTACATAAATAAGAAGAAAAATCAATGAATTAATTAATTAATCAACTATAAAAGGTTAGAAAAAGTAAATAAGCCTAAGGGAAAAAAAAGAAAAAGGAGTTAAAGATTAAAAAACAGAAAACAGTAACACTAGTAAATACATCTAAGAGTCTATAAAAAGTAAAACAAGCTAATGAAGGAAGGAAAATGGAAAAAAAACAAATAAATGATGTAAATCATAAGAAAGTAACCATGAATATATAGGATAAAAGTAACCGTAAATGTAAAGGATATATGTAGAATCATAAAAGTCTACTTTGTTCAATACTATGCAGATAAATTTGAGAACTTTAATTACTGGATATTTTTTAGGAAAATGTAAATTACCAAAACTGTTTCAAGAGAGAGCAAAAATCTAGTTGGCCAAGTTACCATATAAGAGAGAATACTGCTAAAGAATTACCCCCCAATTCCTCTCCCCTGCTCTCTACCACAAAAAACAAGTTAAAAAAAAAAAAAAGAAAAACAAAAAAAACACCCAAACCTTCAGGGAACCAGTTATCATGTGAATTAAATTATAACAAAGAATGAAAATAGGAAGGATCAAAAATTTTCACAAAAATTATTACAAAATTTAAATCAAAACTCAATGAAAATGGCCCAATGAAAAAGAAAAATATAAACAAATTTCTTGTAAGTACCAATGCAAAAACTTAAATAAAACATTAGCAAAGAGTATCATCTACTGACATGTTAAAAGAATAATGTAATATGCCATGACCAAGTGGGGCTCTACTAAGAATGCCAAGTCATTAAGAGAATTAAGAATAAAATGTACCATATTAACAACGAAAAGGGAAAAGACAGATGTCATCTCCATATATGTTGAAAAGGCATTTGATAAAATTCAATACCTATGCTGAATTTAAAAGAACAAAAATTTCTTAATAAAAGACATGGATTAAATACTTCCTTGTATAATAACATATATCTATCCCAACCCAATACCAAAATTTAAACAGAAAAATTAAAGAATAAGGAAGACTGAGTTACTACTGTTACTCTGTAAAGAATCTACACAAGCATTTAGGGGGGAAATGTTCAACATAGTAAAAACAAATGGAATTACTGAAAAGCATTAAAACACACACACACACACACACACACACACACACACAATTCCAGTTATAAAATAAGTCATGGCAATGTAATGTACAGCATGGCAACTCTAGTTAATAACACTGTGGTGCATATCTGTAAGTTGCTAAGACAGTAAACCTAACAACTTCTCATCACAAGAAAAATAATTTTTGTAACTATGTATGGTGACAGACGTTAACTAGACATATTATGGTGATCCTTTCCCAATATATACAAATATTAAATCATTACATTGTACACCTGAAACTAATATAATGTTATATGTCTATTATATTTCAATTTTAAAAAAGAATAGCTTAGAGGTCTTAAGGAAAAAAAAAAACAGTTTAAGCAAGATTATGCATCACTGGTATTTTCCATGAAACACAATTATAAAAGTTTCCCTGAAGATGATATAGGAAAAATGACAATTCACGTTTTAAAAGAAGGATACACATTTTAGGTGAGAGAAATATCCATGTTTAAAGATTCAGAAATGAACGATGACATGGAGAAAGTGACACACATAAATTTATGCAAAGTATACACAGAAAAAAATGAGAACCAAGAGCAAATGATAACAGAGAAAAGAAATAAAAGAAGACCAGAGGGAAAGGGAAGAAAGTGCTTCCCTATCAGTTTCTTTGCCAAAAATAGTAATCACCTGATAGTCAGGAAAATATGCTTATAACTGGAATCTGCCACTGCCCCACTGTATGATCAGGGATATGGATATTAAAACTAGAAAGGGTTAAATAGCCATTCGTCTAGCTAACCATAGGAGAATTTGGAAGACAGTGAGAATGGACAGAAGGTAGAAAAAGTGTAGCCTGACAAGTGCCTGAAAATGGGGAGGGAAACAACACATAAAGAGACTGATTTCAGGGTGTGAAGTCAGAGGCCGGAGGCCCTTGTGAAAGGAGCAGGAGTAGAAAGAATGAGAAAAATGGCAAGTCATTTGACATGAGGATGACATTAAAAAGAGGCAACTAGTGTCAACTGCCACAGCCCTTCTGCATGGACGTGGACTCTCTAAGATGAGCCTTCTGACCAAGAACTCCCTCCTCACTGTTCTGTGTGCTGAGCTCCAGACTCACTCACCTGTATAGGTACCTGATGGAACCCCTTATACTTCCATCCGTGGCTCTTCCATCCAACTGGGTTATTAGCTTGGGTTTGGAAGAGAGAAGCCCTGTTCACAGAGAAAGAAAAGGAACATGACTGTGGTTATGAGCACAAGGAGTTATCCCAAATCTCAGTCTCAACTTGGGGGTCTACACAGAGCATGGATATGTCAGGAAGGCCTAGAGGGTGGTATCAAGGACATCCAAATCACAGTCACAGAAATGAAGGAGTGGAAGTCAATTAGAAAACCAGGCCTCTTTGAGGACAGGAAACTCCTGTTGTTGGTGGCAGATGAATGGTGACATGCAAAATTTAGAGAACTGGGCTAGACTGCACACAAAGCTGCCCATCTTAAACTCTGTATGGCTCTGACCTTTCTGAGTGAAAGGAGCATGAACTCCAGCCTCTAAGCCCATGGTAAAAACAAACAAACAAACAAAAACCTCCCATTTTAAGAGTTTAAATACCCCCAAATCATTAACCCTGTGAAAATGCACAGTTGCCCAGCAGACCAATTTTGAGTTAAAGAGAAAAAAATCCTTACCCACAAACACCAGATTCCCATAGTTCTCCAGTATCACATCCCTGTACAGGGCCCGCTGAGCAGCATCCGGGTGTCTCCCTTCAATCTGGGTAAAGGCCACAGCCACATCCCCAAATGTCAGTGATCCCTGCAAAATCAAACCCAATTCCGTTCACCCAGGAACCGTTGACTCCCTTGCCCCTGAGGTAGGGAGCCAGGAAGGCCTCACTGGAGAAGGAAGGCAAGACATTCAAAGTCAGCTTCTGATAGCTCAGATTGTTTATGAGGAGAAAAGTGGGACACAGTTAACGAAAGGACCAACGAGGAACGTATATGACATCCTTGGAAAGCAGACTTGTTTCAGAGGAACGAAATATTAAAAGATAAGAGGCTGCAAAGTGAAGTGATTCGTGACCCCTCATACTTCAATCACACTGCCCTCCTCGTGTTCTTCCAATATGCCTACCATGCTCGTTCCTCCAGGCCTGGTGTTTGCTCATCCCTCACTTAGTAGGGATGAAGTGAAATTGCTTAAATGTCACTTCGTCAGAAAGTTCTTCTTTAATCTTCTCCCATCTTCTACTACTTTCTATCCCATGATCCACTTTATTTTTTTTTTTCCACAGGGTTTCTCACTGCCAGGCAGGAGAGGTTTAGATTTATGGTCAGTACACTCTATAATGAGAGCTCCAGGAGGGCAGGGACCACTTGGGTCACTGCTATCTCCCCAGCCTAAAACACTGCCTGACACATGGGCATGTTCAAGGATGTGTCATTCAACAAATGAATAGAAACACTGAAAGACATGCAAAATGATACCGGCTTTATCCCAGAATTTACAGCGATAAATATGTATCTGTTAATTGCCATTCATAGCAATAACAACCTAATATGTACCAGGCACAGTGCTGAGCCCTAAAACATACAACATCTCTGTATTTCCACTAGAAATGTATAAAGTGTAAGGAACGGCACCAAGAAACGGAGGAGAGCTTAAGCAAGCTTAATTTGGGACCGCTCCCGGGCGAGGCTCACTGGTCCGAGAGAAAGAGGCCAGAGAAGTCATGCCCGGGCGAGGGTTTGGGCAGAATTTATAGAGGAAGAAGGGAAAGGGGTGTGGTGAATCCGGGAGGGCACAGGTTATTCCTTATTTGGTGGTCTCTTCAGGTATCGTGGCAATATCTGGTGCCGGTTGCATCAGTCTTGGGACCGTTAGTTCCGCCTCGAAAGGCAGGAAGACTGGGCTGGGTGGAAAGTTCCCAGGTCAGTTCCTGGAACTGGGTGGTCCGGGAAGTTTCGGTCTGATGCAACCTGTGAGTCTGATTGCGTTCCCCTGCCTCAGGCCACTTGGCCTTACATAAAGTATATCTATTTTACAGCTAAGAATACTAAGGCTCAGAGAGTTGAAAGAACTTGCTCAAGGTCACAGGCTGGTTGAGTACACAATATTAAAAAGGAGCTATAAAAAGTGGTAATGAAACTATGGAGCAAACTAGAAGAAACAGCTACGGCATATTAAAAGGAAAAAATGGGTAAGCCTAAAAAATACACATGCAAAGGTGTTTCAAATGAAATAATTTGATTCACTAGGGTGATAGGAATATGGGTAATCTTTAATTTTTAAAAATTTTTGTTACTCTTAGTTTGCATAATAAATACTCAACTATTTACTACTTCCTTCAAAATGTTCATTACCTCCTGTCAACTTCTCAAAGTCCTTCAAAACCCAGTTTTCTCCAGGATTAAGGCAAATTCCAACCTGGCATTCTAGACACTGAACGTTTCCAACTTTCTCTGGGGCTAGCTCATTCATGGTTCAGATGTAACAGCTTCACTCATGTTGCAGCGCCTTCCCCTAGTCACCCCAAACTCTCCAAATATGCAAATTTCATTTATTCTTCAGTAAGAACCGTAATGGTCACCACCACTACCACCATCCCACCCTAAAGACTCCTCTGACCCCTGAAGGTCAAGAGAGCACTACCATGGCTGTGTCATGTGTATCATTCATGATTAACGTAAAGCCTGTTACGTCTTTTTATGCTACGTGTCTGTTTTTCCATTATCTCTGAGTTAGCAATGTCTTTGAGGTAACAGCTGTACCTTATTACAAAGTATGTTTCACTTTCTAGCACTCTAGAAAGCATGGGTACCAACAATCTATTTGGTGAATGACTCTGTAATGGGTAGAGAGAAGGACATGAAGGGATGACAGTGGGGAGAGGGGCCCCGTCTCTGTAGAGCTACACCACTCCAGGATTGGCTCAGGCGGCTTGGTCCATACACTGGTCAGAGCATTTTCCAAGCAAGAGGCATAAACCCAACTTCATTTTGAAACAACAGAGATTTCTCAGGAAAAGGAAAAATCAAACTTACCTGGATCTGGGTTCTTGGTAGTCTTGCGGCCGTCTGTCCCCTGAACTGTTCTCCCAGGCAAGGACAAAGAATCTTCACAACGCCAACCTGGGAAAAAGAAAGGAAATATGAGGAAGTCCCTCCATGTTTGGTACTAGCTAGAACTCGCTCTCTGCACACTGAACGAGAACAGTCCGCCACCCTCCCTAGTCCCCACAAAGGTCGAGAGGTGAAGATGCTTAAGCTCAGGAAGAAAGGGCACGGAACGCCTGCCTGGAGTCCGGCCTTGCAGCAAGCTCTAGGCCAAGCTCTGACTGTGAGTCAGTCAGGCACCTTCGCCAAAACATGCGGAAAGTCTCGTCGGAGACTCAATCCCTGGGTCTCAGCGCAAGCCTTTAAACCTTCTGGGACAGCACGGCTCCTGGGGTTGGGGCCCCGCTCACATCTGCCCGCCCCTCCTAGCCCGCTCTTTCCTCAACTTGCCCCTCGGGGAAAGGAGGAGCTCACCAGGTCTTTGTGCCCCAGTCCGGCGGCAGCCGTTCACGACCTATCTGGGAGGGTTGGGCCAGAAAGCTGCGCACGCTGAGGAGCCGTGACCACCCTCACTGTAGTCACTGAAGAGACACAGGTGCAAGCCGAGCACGCCGGTGCCGCGCTCTACTCAAACGGAGGCGGGCGGGACCGGAAACGGAAGTGACCGCGGAGGCCTCTGGGAAATGTAGTCTTGGATCCAGTCCGGTGTCTTAGGTTCTTCATTCTATATGCGCACGTTGGCATCACCTGGAGAGACCGAAAAATTAATTGCGCCTTGGTCCCAACTCCACAGAATTTGCGTTAATGCTCTGGGTGTGGTCCTGGCATCGGACCACACCCAGAGCTCCCAAACGATTTTAATATTCAGCCAAGATTGGCACCCACTGCTAGAAACTGATTTGGATCTGAAAAACATGTTTTAGGTTACTTTGGGGAGCTATTTATGGTTTGTTCATTTGTTTGTTTCCAAGTAATCCTGTTTTACAAAGAAAAAGCATGTTAGAAAAGTACAGCACCCAGAACATGAAAAATTAGTTTCTCACCATTAACTGACACAGAAGATGGAACAAGATTGAATCAGTTTTAACAAATGTATTATTAAAAAATTCTACTTATGGGCTTCCCTGGTGGCGCAGTGGTTGAGAGTCTGCCTGCCGATGCAGGGTACACGGGTTCGTGCCCCGGTCCGCGAAGATCCCATATGCCGCAGAGCGGCTGGGCCCGTGAGCCATGGCCGCTGAGCCTGCGCGTCCGGAGCCTGTGCTCCGCAACGGGAGAGGCAACAACAGTGAGAGGCCCGCGTACCGCAAAAAAAAAAAAAAAATTCTACTTATAAAATCCAGCAGTTTGACAGCTTAGGAAGGAAAAATATATCTTTCATTCAATTAGGACTTTTCATTTAAAAGAAAATTCCTCTGAATGGAGCATTTATTCACCAACATAACAATGATTAACCAATGCCCCAGTATGTGCCACTCACTTTTCTAGATGCTAAGGATAAAGCAGTTGTCAAGGACTCCCTCCTTCACCAAACTTTAGTCAGGATCCTGCGAATCCTCTTCTCCTCTAGACCTTGTCTTTGGCCTGCTGAATCCAATTTTAGTAAAGAATCCTGTGAAGCCAGTTCATCAAGAATTCTCCCACCCTTGGTATCTAATCAAGTTCCTTTCTACCTCCCCTTGATACCTAACCAATTTCTTAGTAATTTTCCATTTACTCCCTCACCCTGCCAGTTGGCTATAAATCCCCACTTGTCCCTGTTGTACTGGGGTAAGTTCAAGCTCTCTCTCTACTGCAGTAGGCTTGAATAAAGTCTTCTTTGCAGGTTTCAACAAGTGTCAGAATAATTTCTCTTTAACACAGTGAAAAAATAATGTTCCTCCCCTCAAAGACCTTACATTCAAATAGGGGGCAGGAAGAGAGAGATTAAACAAAAGTAAGGTAAGGAGATGGGAGGAGGATTCTTATTCAATACAGAGCTGTATGAACTGCCCTCTTTGATAAGAGATCATACAAGCAGAGTCCGAAGGAAGTAAGGTAACAAGAAGGAGTGTATCTGTGGGAAGTCTGGTCCAGGCAGAGGAAACAGTAGATGCAAAGCCACTACAGAGAGCGTGCTTGGTTTATCTGAGGAACAGAAACAGGTCAATGAGGTTGGAATACTAAAGACAGAAGAAAAAACCAGATCATGTTTGTGATGACTAATTTCATGTGTCACCTTGACTGAGCTAAGGGATGCCCAGATAGCTTATAAAATATTATTTCTGGGCCCACCTATGAGGGTGTTTCTAGAAGAGATTAATATATGAATGGTGAACTGAGTAAAGCAGACTGCTCTCCTCAATGTGGGTGGGCAACATCCAATCTACTGAGAGTCTGAATAGAATTTAAAAAGCAGAAGAAGGGAGATTGGTCTCTCCACTTGAGCTAAGACATCTATCTTCTCCTGCCCTCAGACCTTCAAATTTGGTCTCTCCACTTGAGCTAAGACATCCATCTTCTCCTGCCCTCAGACCTTCAGATGCTGGGACTTACATCAGCATATCATTCCTCCCTTCTCAGGCCTTCGGCCTCCAACTGGGAGTTATGCCATTGGCTCCCCTAATTCTCAGGCCATCAGATACAGACTGAACCACACCACTGGCTTTCCTAGTTCTCCAGCCTGCAGACATCAGATCATTGGACTTCTAAGTCTCCATAACCACAGGAGCCAATTAATTAATTAAATACACACAGTATTCATTCTGTTTCTCTAGAGAACTCTGCTTAATACAATGTTGGTCCTTTCAGTCCGCTATAAAGACACTGGCTCTTATTTCAACTGAAATAAGAAGCCATCAGAATGTGGAGAAATCAGAATCCTCACTGGTTGTTAGTAGGATCATAAAATAGTGCAGTCACTTTGGAAAATGCCTGGCAGTTCCTCAAAATGATAAATATGGAGTTACCATATCACTCCACGATTCCATTCCTAGATACCTAACAAAGAACAATGAAAATATACATCCACACAAAAATTTGTATATAAGTGTACATAGCAGTGTTATTCATTAGAGCTAAAACTGGAAACAACACAAATGTACAACAACCGGTGAATGGATAAATAAAATATGGTATATCCAAACAATGGAATAATATTTGGCAATAAAGTTAATGAAGTACCGATACATGCTACATAATCAATGAACTTTGAAAATATAATCCTAAGTGAAAGAAGACAGTCACAAAATATAACATACTGTATGATTTGACTTATCTGAAATGTCCAAAATGTCAAATTCCATAGAGACAAAAATAGATAAATGGTTGCTAGCAGATGGAGGAAAGGAGGAATGGAGAGATACTATTGCTGGGTATGGAGCTTCTTTGGGGAGTAATGAAATGTTGTAAAATTAGATAGTAATTATATTAGTTTCCTAGGGCTGCTGTAACAAAGTGCCACAAACTTAAACAATGGAAATTAATTTTGTCACACTTTTGGAGGCCAGAAGTACAAAACCAACGTGTCAGCAGGGTTGGTTCCTCCTCAGACTTTGGGTAGAAGCCTTCCTTGACTCTTCCTAGGTTCTGGCGGTTGCCATCAATCCTTGGCTTACATTCTCCCTGTGTGTCTCTGTCTTTATGTGGTACTTCCTCTTATAAGGACAGCTAGTTATATTGGATTAGAGCCCAACCTAACAACCTCATCTTAACTTGATTACATCTGCAACAACCCGATTTCAAATAAGGTCACATTTTGGAGTACTGGGGGTTAGAACATCAAGGTATGAAGGCGGGTGGGAACACAATTCAACTCATAAAATTTAGCTTTGTGTTTTGTTCCTTAATGTTTTGCCTTTAATACTCTGTAATGTATTCTTTACAGTTCACATCTTATGAGATAGTATCTAAGTTTGTCTCAAATGGATAGATAACTTTTCAGCACCATTCATTGAAAAGTCTTTTTGTTCCTCCACTAAATTGAAATGCCATCATTATCTTATGTCACACTGTACAGTCTCCTAAACAAAAGTTGTGGGGATTTCTTAACCTATGCTGTTTTCTAGAAGCAAAGGGCTCAGATAAAGTTCAACACTCTTACTATTAATAAGGAGTGGTTAAATATATTATAGTAAATCCATATGACAAAATACTAGGCAACCATTAAAAATATCAACATAGGGCTTCCCTGGTGGTGCAGCGGTTGAGAGTCCGCCTGCCGATGCAGGGGACGCGGGTTCGTGCCCCGGTCCGGGAAGATCCCACGTGCCGCGGAGCGGCTGGGCCCGTGAGCCATGGCCTGCGCACAGCAACGAAGACCCAATGCAGCCAAAAATAAATAAATAAATTTATATATTTTTTAAAAATCTACAAACAATAAATGCTGGAGAGGGTGTGGAGCAAAGGGAACCCTCCTGCACTGTTGGTGAGAATGTAAATTGATACAGCCACTATGGGAAACAGTATGGATGTTCCTTAAAAAACTAAAAATACAACTACCATATAACCCAACAATCCCACTACTGGGCATATACCCAGAGAAAACCATAATTCAAAAAACCACATGCACCCCAATATGCATAGCAACACTATTTATAGTAGCCAGGACATGGAAGCAACCTAAATGTCCGTCAACAGAGGAATGGATAAAGATGTGGTACATATATATGATGGAATATTACTCAGCCATAAAAAGGAATGAAATTGGGTCATTTGTAAAGACATGGATGGACCTAGAGAGTATCATACAGAGTGAAGTCAGAAAGAGAAAAGCAAATATCATATAATAACGCATATACTGGACTCTAGAAAAATGGTATAGATGATCTTATCTGCAAAGCAGAAATAGAGACACAGACATAGAGAACAAATGTATGGATACCAAGGGGAAAGGGGTGGGGCAGGAGGAATTGGGAGACTGGGATTGACACATATACATTATTGATACTATGTATAAAATAGACAACTGATGGGAACATACTATATAGCACAGGGAGCTCTACCTAATGCACTGTGGTGACCTAAATGGGAGGCAAGTCCAAAAGGGAGGGGATTTCTGTATGTGTATGGCTGATTCATTTTGTTGTGCAGTGGAGGCTAACACAACATTGTAAAGCAACCATACTCCAATAGAAATTAATTTTAAAAAGTTTAAAATCTTTTTTAATTTAAAAATTAAATAAAAATAAATTTCAAAATATACACAACATAGAATAATACAACAAGCTTCTAGGTATCCATAACCCAGATTCAACAAATATCAAGATTATGCCCATTTTCTTCTTTTTTTATTTTTTTAAAATTTTATTTATTTTATTTTTGGCTGCTTTGGGTCTTTGTTGCTGCACACGGGCTTTCTCTAGTTGCAGCAAGCGGGGGCTACTCTTTGTTGTGGTGTGAGGGCTTCTCATTGCGGCGGCTTCTCTTGTTGCAGAACACGGCTCTAGGTGCATGGGCTTCAGTAGTTGTGGCATGCGGGCTCAGTAGTTGTGGCTCACAGGCTCTAGAGTGCAGGCTCAGTAGTTGTGGCACATGGGCTTAGCTGCTCTGCAGCATGTGGGATCTTCCCAGACCAGGGATCTAACCCGTTCCCCTGCATTTGCAGGCGGATTCTTAACCACTGAGCCACCAGGGAAGTCCCGTGCCCATTTTCTTTTATCTATCAATCTCCCCTCCCTTTTGGTATTCTGGATTTTTTTTTTTTTTTTTGGACATGCCACGCAGCACATGGGATCTTAGTTCCCCAACTAGGGATCGAAGCCGCACCCCCTGCAGTGGAAGTGCAGAGTCTTAACCACTGGACCGCTGGTGAAGTCCTGGTTTTCTGGCTTATTTAATAATGAGGTATATACCTGACTCGGGGCATTTTATTTTATTTTATTTTTTACATTGTACCATTGTCACACTGTAAAAAAATAAATACTTTGAGAGACTGAATATGCAAATGGACAACAGCAAGACCACATAAAAAACAATCTGCAGGGCTTCCCTGGTGGCGCAGTGGTTGAGAGTCCGCCTGCCGACGCAGGGGACGCGGGTTCGTGCCCCGGTCCAGGAGGATCCCACATGCCACGGAGCGGCTGGGCCTGTGAGCCATGGCCGCTGAGCCTGTGCTCCGCAACGGGAGAGGCCACAACAGTGAGAGGCCCGCGTACCGGAAGAAAAAAAAAAAAAAAAAACAATCTGCAGCAACCAGCCCAGAAAACCAACCCATTACGTACAGTAACTAGCCCACGAAATCAGCCTGCTGTAAGTCAGACTTGTAAGAAGTCAGGTCACCATCTCTAGCACAATCAGTCCAGGAAACCAAACTATCCATCACCCCCCAAAATGTCTGGTCTTGATTAATAACTTTGAGTATCCCTAATTTTTGTGCCCACTTCCAACTTAGGACCAACCAGAGAAAAGCAAATATACCCCCCAACCAATCACATAAGACGCCCTCTTGTAGTCAGCCCCCTCTAGTTTCCTTTCGCCAACAACCTGCAAACAGGGTGTACCTGAAGCCATTTCCCTCTTTTCCACTCTAAAGCCTTCCGACTCAGCTGCCTGCCTTTGAGTCTCTGCCAAAATGCAAATCATGGTGGCTGACTCCCTTGCCATTAGCTCCCTTGCCATTAGCAAGCTCTGAATAAACAGCCTTTGTTTATTCTCATTTGGTTGGTCATTTTCCCCACAAATTCTTTAATATCTAATATCCAGCCCATATTCAAATCTCCCTAAGTGCCTCACACATTTTTCTACCTGGTTTGTTTGAATCAGATAGGGGAGCACTTCAGGTTGGCCCTGGGTCCTTATGACATGATAGTAGTCATCTTTCACACTTCCTCACTCTCTGGAAGACAAGCTGTCTCAGGATAAAGCTATGCTTTGCCATGAAACAGCCATTTCTCCAGAGAGCCCTGGCTTCTTCAGTTTCCTGCAGTTTTGTGGATTCGTCCACAAACCGGAGCTTGTGGAGGAGCTTGTGGAACCTTAGCCATGTTTCAACAGTGTTCTCAGCTTCTTGCTGATGGTTCCACGCAGAATGGGAAGCTAGGCTATTTGTTGGCAGTTTTGAGGTTCTGGGTTCCACGACCCTCACTATCTCAGCACAGCTGCTGAAGCCTAGTGGTGGTTTGACCTGACCCATTCTGGAATTTGAGGGGAGACCCTGACTCTGGCTTTGTTAAAGATATTGTCCAGTGGGATGTTTCTCTGCTATACTGGTGACTCAGCCCATTTTTATGAGTGACTTGAGGAGATTCAAAAACTCTGCTGCCAGCAACATGGATGAACCCAGAGATTATCATACTAGGTGAAGTAAGTCAGAAAGACAAATACCATACGGTATCACTTACATGTGGAATCTAAAATATAACACACATGAACATATCTACAAAGCAAAAACAGACTCACAGACATAGAGAACAGATTCGTGTTTGCCAAGGGGGATGCAGGGTGGGGGAGGGATGGATTGGGAGTTTGGGGTTAGCAGATGCAAACTATTATATATAGAATGGAAAAACAACAAGGCCCTACTGTATAGCACAGGGAACTATATTCAGTATCCTGTGATAAACCATAATAGAAAAGAATATGAAAAAGAATATATATATATATGTTTACATATGTATAACTGAATCACTTTGCTGTACAGCAGAAATTAACAAAACTTTGTAAATTAACTATACTTCAATAAAATAAGATTTTAAAAAACTCTGCTGCCATAAGGATCTTTCCCTACTCCCCATTTTTTGTTGTTGTTGTTTTTGTTTGTTTGTTTTAGCAGATGAGGAAGGTTTAGAGAGGCTAAAAAATGTAGCCTCAGTTTGCTCACATGCAAAACAGTTAATAATCTCTGCTTGCTTACTTCCCAGGGCTGTTGTGAGAATTAACCGAGATAACGGAAATGAAAAGTCAGAGATTCGAGGAGAGGGACGCCGCAGACAGCAAGCGCAAGGGCAGACACACCTGGAGCAGGTGCAAAACATCCTCCGTGGTGCCTCGGTCTCCAAGGGCATGCCCCTGATGACCGCTGCCACCCGAACGTCAATAATGAGAATGGTACAGCTAACTTATACTGCCCAGCACGGTGATAAGCACCATTCACACATTATTCTATGCAGTCCTCACCACAGCCTGAAAGGGGAGAGTATCGTAAGCCTCAAAGGGGAAAGGATTGTAAGCCTCATTTTATGGAGGAGGAATTCAGGGCTTAGTGACTGAAACACTTGTTCACAAGGGTGCAGTTTTCTGTTGGCAGAACCTGTATTTAAACCCAGACTGTCTCATCCACAGCCCCTGCCTTTAGCTGCTCTGCTTTGGCTTCTGAAATGGAGAAGGTGGGAGTTTTCACTGAAGATGATGGAAAGACAGAGGACAGAGGACAGGATGAGCCAGAAGGGGCTGGTTAGGACTCTCCCTGTTGAAAGGTTTTGGGCAGCTAGCTGCAGAGCCTCTTTCTCTGAGGCAGGTGACTGAGTTGAAGGCAGGGCTTAGCACATCTTTTGGGTTAGCCTACAAGAGATCAATTACCCACTTAGAGTCTTTCAAGGAGTTCTTGGAAGCATACCCCTCCTCTAGGGTTGCCAGATAAAATGCAGCATGCCCAGTAACATCTGAATTTCAGAGAAACATTGCAGGGGACACATATTTTCTTAAAAACTATTCATTGTTTATCTGAAATTCAAATTTAGCTGGGCATACTGTATTTTCATTTGCTCAATCTGGCAACCCAACCCTCTTCACTCCATACAGATCTTTGTTTTAAAGCATCTCTATTATCCTAATACAACATCTAAAAAGCCACAATTTTTTGGTTTAAAGATTTCTAGATCTTTAGGGATATCCTACGATACATTTAACCTTGGATTGAGGGGACAACCTTTAAGTTGTTATCTACTCATTAGAGTGCTTAGTTGGCTATACCCAACATCTTTCAGAAAGTCAACATGTGGAGTGTGAATAAAGGTGAGAAGCGCAGCAACAGCACACAATAAGGGAGAAGGGGATGGGGGAGAAGAGAGGATTCATAACACTGAAAACCACTGAAACCCTCCTCATCCCCAGTGCTAGTGGAGCCCTGCAGAGAAACATCATTTCATGTGACAAGGTAGAAAGAATATACTCGCTGAGTGGTTTTGAATGAGTAAGTGCAGGAATGATGCTGAGTTGCTCCTAGCAGCATGTGAACTATAATGATGAGTTTCTACAGCCCTGAGGCCATCTTTCCTGAAGTCCTAGCAGGGCAGCACCAAGAGCCCTTCATTACTGGGCAAGATTAACTTCCCTCCTCCCTCCCCTCCTGCTTGCCTGGGTGCACCTGAACAATTCTCTTCTTTTCTCTGGGCCTCAATCCTCCGTCTGAAAAGTGAAGACAACTGGATGAGACCCTGCTTATCACCCTCTCCATTTCCATGGCTTTTGAGGACATTTTGGCAACAGTATGGGTAATAGAGCTGGAGACATTCTTAGAACTCACAGAGATCTGGAAGGAGGGAGCTGTGTGCCCCTGCTCCAGTCAGAAGCCAGCCTGGTTGCAGAAAGGGCTCAGATCTACATAGGAGCCCTGGACTCCCTTTTCCAGCTCCAACTATGGTTTCTCCAGCTTTCCTAGAAGTCCACTATGGCCAGAATTGCATCTGCCACCAACCAGCTTGGTCAGGTGCATTTCTGTGTCAGAGTGATCCCTAGTAGGCTGGACTGGGAGGCAGCGCCCAAGGGGGCCAACAGAAACTCCTTTCCTCATCTCTAACCTGACCTGTTCCAATTGTGATTACCTTGAAAAGATGAAGAGACAGATGTGCTATAGTGAAAGTGACCCCAGTTCAATGCCCAAGGTGCTGAGTTTGGATCCTGGCTCTGCCATTTACCAGAAGCAGGATCTTAGGCAAGTCACTGCCTCTCTCTCTCATTTTAAGAATAGTGAGGAAGAACCCTACTCCACAGTACTGTGGCAAGGATGAACTTTGGGCCATGAGCCCAGAGCAGGTCATCCAGGAGGAAATGGAAGTGCTTCCACCTTTCTTTCTGTGTGTCTCCCAAGGGCTCCCCAGATAGGACCTAAAGACTCAGGTGCTCCCTGACTAGTGTGCCACCAGATCCCAAGACCTTAACATGTAGAAGATGTAGGCCCCAAACGAAGACCTCCCAGGTTTTTATAGAATGAAAATTGATAATAGAGAAGAGAGATAGGAATGCCCTGATGTGTGAGAAAGGGGATAAGATTCAGGGTACAAATGGAGAGTTTTCTTAAATAGAAACTGGGGCTGTTCATTCAGAATAGAAAGTAGAGCATACAGACTCCATTGGAGAGAGGTGGGCAGATGAGCTTGTGTAAAGGTATAAAAGCTCTCTTTTCTCATAGAAAGCAAAAGTCATCAGCTGTGAGCGAGATGGAAGGAGTTGCTGGAGGCTTGAAGAAACAGGAGAAACTGTGAGATAGTCATTTAGGAGAATGGATGGACTAAGAAAATGTAATAGGGTAGTTGGGCAGCATTAAGGGCCCACTTGACCTTAGCAGTCATAAATTGAAAGTGAGACCAATCATCAGAGCCATGCGTTTTTCTCAGGCCACATCTGCTACACAGGTACAGGTGTGGAACAGGCAGGGAGTTGGATTCAACTAGATTTGGTGTGTGATCAGGAGAATAAAACCAAGTAAGTTAGGGTCAAGAGACTGATCATAATGATAGGCCACTACCTCTAAACTGGGTGAGGTGGGAAGCGAGAACATGAAGGGGTGAGAGTCAGAGCAAGAGTGATAGAATCAATGGATGGAGAAGCAGTAGGTCCTGGCGAGACAGTTTGTGTTCCCCAGACAAAAGGCAGAGGAGCTTCAGAGATATGTCTTAAGCCCCCCAAAAATGTCCATGTCCCAATCCCCAGAAACTGAATATTACCTTATAGGGCAAAAGGAACTTTGCAAATGTGATTAAAATAAAGGTCATGATGTTGAGAGATTATCTTGGATTAACCAGGTGGGCCTGATGTAATTGCATTAGTCCTTAATAGAGGGACACAGGAAAAGTCAGTGCCAGAAAAGGTAATGTGATGAGGGAAGCAGAGATTGGAGTCATGGGCTTTGAAGATGGAGGAAGAGGCCACAAGCCAAGGAATACAGGTTGTGAACGTACCTTGGAAAAGGCAAGGAAACAAATCCTCCTCTAGAGCCTCAAAAAGGAACCAGCGGTGCCCACATCTTGACTTTAGCCCAGTGAAACTGATTTCAGACTTCTGATCTCCAGAACTGTAAGGGAATAAATTTGTGTTTGTTGTATGTCACTAAGTTTGTGGTAATTTATTACAGTAGCAGTTGGAAACTAATACACCAAGAAGGGGAAAGATACAGAGGAGAGGTCTAGGTAACAGCTCTTTCACCCCCAGGATAAATCTGCAGGGAAAGTATTCTGGAAAGACCTAGTGGCCCTGTGTTACTCAGTGAAGGGTGAATGCAAAAGCCACTGGGGAGAATTTTGGTGCCACTCCCTTAAGGGCATTAGCAACTAAAAGGGTTTCGGTGAGCAAGGTTTCTATGTAAATCAGTGATACACAGTACTATCAAATTTTAAAAAGCAAACTGCAGGCCTGTATACACACAGCATGACCCCGTTTTTGTTTAAAAAGTGTATCCGTTTGTATAAACAGTTATGTCTGTGTATGTTTAAGAAACAGTTCTGACTGCTGAGTGTCACAGGACTGAGTCCCTCATCTCCTCAGTCTTTGTTTCAATATCCCCTGTTTAAAACTGCAAGGCAACGACTTCCCTCGCGGCGCAGTGGTTAAGAATCCACCTGCCAATGCAGGGGACACGGGTTCCAGCCCTGGTCCAGGAAGATCCCACATGCTGTGGAGCAACTAGCCCATGTGCCACAACTACTGAGCCAGCGAGCCACAACTACTAAGCCTGCGTGCCACAACTACTGAAGCTCGCGTGCCTAGAGCCCGTGTTCTGCAACAAGAGAAGCCACCGCAATGAGAAGCCCACGCACCACAACAAAGAGTAGCCCCTGCTCACGGGAACTACAGAAAGCCCGCGGGCAGCAACGAAGACCCAACACAGCCAAAAAGAAATAAAAATAAAATTGCAAAGCATATCCCAACCTACACACCCCAGCACCATCACCCTCAATGCCCTGACCCAACTCCACTTTTTCCATAACACATAACCTTATAACACACTATACCTTTTATCATAATTACGTATTGCTCTAGTGGGAAATGCCACTAGAATTTAACATCCACAGTGATTTTTTTTGTTTAAGTGTCTTGAACAGTTCTTGGAACATAGCAGGACCTCAAATAATGTTTGCCAAATGAACTTCAGAGGTGAGAAGGGGACACTCATTCCAGAATATTTTTTAAGGTAATGCGAAATTACGCGTGATATTTACGTTCTTTTCCCCCAGGAGCACTTTACCTAAACGAAAAACATTTTAATAGGCATTTCTAATATAATTCTTACGCGTTTGCAATAAAAACCAGGAGAACAACCTGACGGACCTAGTCGCAGGCCTCACAAACTGTGAAAAGCACTCGGCGTTGGACGGAACCCTACCCTTGGGCTCAGCGCCTCGCGAAGCCTCAGGGTCAACGCCGGAAGTGGGCGCGGCCCACCCGCTGCTTTCTGGGACTTGTAGTTCGGGGCTGTAGGCGGCGGAGCGGGGCCGTATAGCGAATCCTGTGCTTCCAGGTGTCGGATTCCACGTGGGAGGTGAGGGCTGTATGGCCGCTCGCGCAATCCGCGCGGCCTGCAGAGAAGCGTCTGGCTGTCGAGTTGTGGGAGTGTCGCGAGGGAGGCGCTGGGCCAAAGGGGCCCTGAAGCCTGGCGGGCGGCCGGGGGAGGGCGCGCATCTTGGCGGAGGTGCGAGCACGGGTGGCACGTGTGTCCGCTTGCCGCGGCCGCCGCAGCGTTCGCCAGTTCTGGCCGCGGTCACCTGAGACCAGGCGGCCCCTAGCGCTAAGCCGGCCGCGGCTCCGAGAGGCTCTCCTCTCGCCTGCCTGAGCTCCGGCCTTGGCCGGCCTGGGAGCTTCGCAGTTGGCCACACCGGCCTTTTCCGCGCTGGTGACTGGCCTTATTCGAAGGAGGATTTCGGTGGACGTTAGGGGACCGAGAGGGGCTCCTGTGAGAGACCGAAGTTTCCGTCCCCACAGGCCTGTCCTCGCTGAAAAGAGATTGCGTCAGAGCCCCCGCACCCCAGAAACGAGTCAGGCCTTCAGGCGTCTCGGGCAGCCGAAATCTCTGCCGAGAGGCGACACACACATCCTACCGGAGAGCTCCTACTGCCCTAACTAGAGCGTTAGGGCAAAAATCGCAAAGCCTGGGGAAACGGGCACATCTTAGAGCTGCTGGGGCCAGTGGGATTTTCTTGCCCCCATGGGTTTGCGGGGGAGGCTTGGCCTGTTTGGTCCAAAGCCTAGTGGAGAGATGCGAGGGAGGCGCAGCTTGGAAAGACAGGAAAGGCACCCCAGGAGAGGGTGTGTGAAGGTAGCAGGAGCTGATTAACTTTTTTCCTACAGTCTTGCTGGACTGCTTAGTCTATGTCCTGCAAGGTGGACTTGATTTTCATGGTTTTTTCGCTTTCTCTAACTCTATTTTTCCAGGAATCTATCCTTCTTGAGAGGAGGAAATGACCAAGTTCCAGGTGAGTTGGGGTTTCTCTTTTATGAGAATGTAAATAACCTTTCTTGGGAAGGACATCAGCATTAATTGAGTGCGTATCTGGTGTCAGGTCCTGTCTTGGTTGTGTGGTTTTTTTATTTATTGTCGGACTTCAGCGTGAGACTTACATTATTTTATAAATATGGGTGTAGGAACATTAAGATACTAAGAGCATATAGCTATCATATGATGTCACTAGAGTCTGCACAGATAATCTGCTGACTTTAAATTCCACCTCAGTTTTCAGTGTACCACTCTGCTTCCATGAATTTGGCCCACTCCCCAGAGCACTGGGCTATGCTCTTTTATTGAAAGACTCCACACAGCATCTTTGTCTGGTCCTGTCTCTCAAAGCATGCCTTTTCCTGCCAGGCATTTCACGCACATTGAAAGTCATTCAAAGCTGTTACATGCTCAGTCCGGTGCCAAGTGGTCTCAGGAAAACAAATAGAATTATAAACTACGGTGCTGGGCTTCCCTGGTGGCGCAGTGGTTGAGAGTCCGCCTGCCGATGCAGGGGACACGGGTTCGTGCCCCGGTCCAGGAAGATCCCACATGCCGCGGAGCCTGTGCGTCCGGAGCCTGTGCTCCGCAACGGGAGAGGCCACAACAGTGAGAGGCCCGCGTACCGATAAAAAAAAAAACAAAAAACTACGGTGCTTTTCTTCATGAGCAGGTGATGTATATGAAAAAAGGTATGCACATTACCAATAATCATTTATTAAACCTGAATGAGTTAAAGACATGAGAAAATTTGTTACGTAACAACACCGTAATTACCATATCACTCCCAGAAATGCTCCTCAACCAGGCTGTGCATCAGAATTATCTGTGTTCTTTTAAGAATTAAAGGTTCCTAGGCACCATTCCCCTAGACCTACTAAAAGGAGAATTTCACTTTTTTATCCCTTTGACCTTTTGTACATCCAAAGATTTATTGCATTTATTGTGAAATACTTCTCTACATGCTTGGCAAAAACAATCCTCACATCCATAGGAAAACAGCATGAGCTCTTATAAAAACTGGTTTGTTTAGAGGACAGTAAGCTGCTTCAAGGTACTGAAAGCGTGACATCTCTGTGCCTTGAAAATAACTGAGAACGTCAGCAAAGATTGACATAAGTAAAACCCTGTGCTCTTTTTATTTTCCTTCTCTTCTTTCTCTTCCCTAATGAAGATTATTCATGGTGATGAAGTTGGGGATTGCTAGTATAGTGAAATTTTGAGATTCTGGCATATGTTAATAATTTTTTGAATTTAAAGAAAGGACTTCATTTCCACCAGTACTTACTGTTTTCTGTGTACCAGGAGTTGTCTTTGAGTCTGCTGAAAGGCAGGACTCCCATTTAACGCCCCCTCTCCCTCTGTGACCTTGGATAAGTCACTTCACAGTTATGAACCTTAGTTTTCTCATCTTTAAAATGAGAGTGCTGAGTTTGATGATCTCAAGTTTTATTTCATTATTTAAATTGAATGTGAATTTATAAATATTTACCATTTAGATTTTGAGTCAGTTGTGCTAGTTGCTGAGGATTTAAAGGTTAGTTGAGTGTTGCCTCTATCCCTGAGAATCTATCTTATAGCCAATTTGGGAGACATTTAATAGCTATAGTAGAGGTATATGCAAGATACTGTGAGATCTTTGAGAAGGAGACATTTAACATATCCTTATGCTTCAGAAAGGAGGTTGTTGATTGTCCTGAAACTGAAATGGATGGGACTATGGGAGAAATATAAGTCAGGGCAGGAGCAACATGTAAAGGGCTCTTCTAGACTAGAGCATGACATTCGGATGACTACAGGTAATCCAGGGTGATGACAGCTCCTGCCCATCACTGCCTTCTGGATCACTGTTTCCTGCCCCTAAGTAAATTGTTGGATCTAGCAGGGGTGGGCTCTGGAAAGGAAGTGCTAAGCTATGTGATACATGCAGTTTCGAGGAGTTTGACATTTACATTAGTACAGAAACTACTATCCTGTAGCCTTATACTTTGGTTGGCCTTCAGGATACTGAGTCCATTCTCCCACAGGAAGCAAAAGTTCCACCTTGGAGTGACTGAATAGCTCCACTGGTACCTAGGGAGATTATTCATTATTCAGATTCTTTCATTTTCAACTTTGTCTTGCTTTAGCAAGACCACTGTTTCCTCTTTTTCCTTTCCCCTGACACACTGAGTCCTCTAATTTGGTCCACTTTCATACCATTTCTCATCTTGGAATTTTCAGCCTACTACAAAGTTGGTAGTACATCAACATATCCTTTCTGTTTTCAACATGGAATTCTCCCTACCACTTTATCTGTGGGATCTTAAAAAATTAATAACTCTTGACTGTCCGATCCTTGGATTGAAACATGACAAAACTTGTATTTTGAAGATTTGGTAAAGAGTTATTGTGGCCTAGCTAAGAAATGAGGGCCTTTCCTAGAATAGTAGGAGCAGAGATAAGAAGAAGTAACATGCTGGAGGGAGATTTAGGAGATAGAATTGACAAGAAGTGGTTTGATTATGGTCAAGGTAGGAAGGGAGTCTTAGACATCTCAGATGACAAGGCGGAAGATGGATTAAAAAATAGAAGAAAGATCATTGATGGACTTGAATCTCAGAAGGGAAGGAAGGATTCCATCTAGAATGTGTAAGGAGAGGTTAGCCATGGACAGAAAGAAACCTGTTGTCTCTGAAAAGAAAAAGTCCAAAAGAGGGGTAGCTAATCTGCTGATACCCCCCAGCCGTGTTTTCCTAACAGGTGTGTTTACGCCTCTAAGGCCACAGCCTCTGCTTCTGCTGCTTCTTTGTCCCACCTTTGCACAGGGCCTTGCAGCCTTCTCTAGTCCAACCTCATCCCTCTTCCTCAGACACAGTGGAGACTGTGACCTTTAGAGGAGAGCCTGGGAGGAAACAGCTGCTTCTCCTTTGTTGACTAGTGGGGTAGAGTCGCTCCTGCCGGGGGACCTGGTTGTCCTCAGTTTCCTGAGGAGGGTGTGGGTGGTGCCCCTTCAGGCTGAGGCTTATGGTGTCAGCACTTCTGAAGGTTACTGGGTACTCCCCTGGCCCCAAGTTGAACCGCTGCTTTCGGCTTCACTGGCTCTCAGTTGTTTTGTGTATATTCCATCCTCTGCTTTTCAGAGTGTGGCCTGCAGACTGGTGCCAGGCAACAAACTTGTTACCAGTCTATAAAGATATAAGGACAGGGCTTCCCTGGTGGCGCAGTGGTTGAGGGCCGATGCAGGGGACATGGGTTCGTGCCCCAGTCCGGGAAGATCCCACATGCCGCGGAGCGGCTGGGCCCGTGAGCCATGGCCGCTGAGCTTGCGCGTCCGGAGCCTGTGCTCCGCAACGCGAGAGGCCACAACAGTGAGAGGCCCACATACTGCAAAAGACAAAAAAAAGAGAAGAACACAAAAAAAAAAAAAAAAAAAAAAAATATAAACAAAAAGATATAAGGACAGAAATTGAGAGTTTTTTTAAATTTTATATCTGTTGAATCTAATTTTAAAAATTGGCATTGGTATTTTATATGTCTGCATTATTTTCTAGTAACTTTTTAGAAAATGTATTTTAAAAAATATGTCTGTGACATGTTAGAAAAATCTGAAAAGAAACTGGTCCTTCACCAGAGGTAGTTCAAGAAGTGTTGCTCCATCAATAGAACTTTGGAGGGAACCAGACTCACTGTGAGGTTAACTAAATAAGTACTTGGACTCTTTTTACATGCCAGGCCCTGCTTGAGGCCTTGGGGATGCAGCCATGAACAAATCAGGCAGCCTCTGTTCTTGGGGAACTTAGTAGGGAGAGACAGACTGTAAACAAGAAAGAAAATGTATAGATTAGAAAATGAGATAAGGCATAAGTACAAAGATAATAAAACAGGGAGAAGTGATGGTTACTGGATGCTCCCATGGATTAGTCAGTCAAGGAAATGCTTCTCTGAGGTGGCAGCGGTTCGACTGAGATCTGAATGATGTAGAGAAAGAACATTCTGGGCAGAGGGGATAGCCAGTGCAAAGGCCATAAGTGGGATGAGTTTGATGTGGTCACAGGGGCCAGGTGACTTGTGAGGGAGGAGGGACTCAGGCTGAGATTGGAGAATTGACAGGACCCCAGTCTGCAAGGCCTTGCAGGCCAAGATGAAGAGCCTGGATTTTACTTGGTGTCCATGGAAACGCCTTTGGGGAGTTTCATGCCTTGAGTGGTATGTGTTTTGAAAGATCACCCAGGCTGCTGTGTGGAAAATCCGTCACGTGGGGGAGCAAGAGATACAAATTTAGGAGGTTAGTGCAGGTGGAGAGTTAATGAAGGCTGGGACTTGTAATGATAACAGTGCAAGGTGAAAAGAAATGGGTAGCTTCAGATATGTTTCAGAGGCAGAGTTGAGAGGACTTGGTGATGGATAAAATATGAGGAAGTGAGAAGAGAATCAAAATGACTTCCAGGATTTTGGCTTGAGCAATTGGGTGTGTCGTGTGGCTCTTTACTAAAATGGGGACAACAAGGGAAGACCAGATACTGATGGAGATTGTTGGGAGCAAGAATTCTATTTGGGGCTTGGTGAGTCTTAAGTGCCTTTTAGCCATCCAAGTGTAGATGTAGGTGGGAAATTGGAGCCTGGAGTTGAGGAGAAAGGTTAGGGCTAGAGGTATATGGGAATACCTAAGGAGAATATTTTTTGGTTGTGTGTAAATGTGCTATTTTTATTTCTTCCAGGAATGGTCAACTACTTAGTTTAGAAGAAGAAAGGACATATGATTTATATGACTAGGGAAAAAATTGAGATCAGAAGTGTACTTTGGCTGAGAGGAAAAAAGAGGAAGGATCAAAGGATGGTGATCTTGATGAAGCAGATGTCATGGAGGAGGAAAAGGAGAAAAAATAGGAAGATGTTTTTAAGGTGTGAATTTTGAGATATTAATATTTCAAAAGAACAGTGGTCCAACTAGTGAAATGGCCCTAATTATGGTTGTTGAGGCAGAGATCATTGGCATTAAAGAGATTAAGAGGGACTTCCCTGGTGGCACCGTGGTTAAGAATCTGCCTGCCGATGCAGGGCACATGGGTTCGAGCCCTAGTCCGGGAAGATCCCACATGCCACGGAGCAGCTGGGCCCGTGAGCCATGGCCACTGAGCCTGCGCTCTAGAGCCTGTGAGCCACAACTACTGAAGCCTGCGTGCCTAGAGCCCATGCTCTGCAACAAGAGAAGCCACCGCAGTGAGAAGCCCGCACACTGCAATGAAGAGAAGCCCCCGCTCGTTGCAACTAGAGAAAGCCTGCCTGCAGCAACGAAGACCCAATGCAGCCAAAAAAAAAAAAAGAGAGAGAGAGAGATTAAGAAATGTGAGGTTAGCGTGTTGGGTAATTTGTTCTCATGAGTGTTGAGGTTGTCAGGATAACAGTAGGAATGGGGCAGAAAGGCCAACTCAGCAGTGACCATGATATGACACTGATAAGGAGAGATTCAGTAGTTGGATAGCTTGAGCTTGGGTGAGTTGTGGGCAGGAGGGGAAGTATTGGGAAGGAAGTAGCAAAGAAGATGAGAAAGGAAAGGTTTTCCATCCAAACTTGGATCACCCCAATCCTTGAACTGCACACTTCCTCTGTACCCTTCTCCCCTCTTCCAGTGCTCCCAGCCTCACCTTCCTTCTGGGGCATTTGTGCAGATGGTTGTCAGTTGAGGAGGAATGTGCTTAATCTTTTAGGAACCAGTAACCTTCAAGGATGTCTCTGTGGATTTCACCGAGGAGGAGTGGGGTTGCTGGACCCTGCTCAGAGGAAGCTGCACACAGCTGTGATGCTGGAAAACTACAGTCACTTGGTCTCAGTGGGTAAGAATATGAACCTGGACACCAGTGCACTGCAGTCTCTGTTTCTTCAATTTCAAATATCATTTGGGCTTGGGCCCCGGGAGCTGTAATTCAGGAATCAGTTTCCTAATTTCTTTTTGGCAGAAAAGGATGTTTCTGATTATTCTAAGCAGCTAAAGAACTTTACTTGGTAAGAATTGGAGAATGGTAACCTTACTGAGTTGTCCAAGAAACCATACCTGGTGCATCACTTATAAGCCAGAGTTTGGGACTGAATTTTTTTTTTTTTTTTTCCCCACACAGTCACCCAATCCCTGTGTGTTTCTCAGATGTGCTCTCTCAGTTGGAGCAAGTTGAAGATCATCATACAATGGAGAATTCTCCATGCCCATTACCTTTAGTTCCTGGTGTAAAGCCTCTAAACTCCCCACCTGGCTTTCAAGGCCCTTCATGCCCTACTTTTACCTATAGAGGATTATTCTCTGCTGCCCCAATGTCACCCTCCTTTCCAGCTAAGCCTGTTTCCCTGAGGTCCTCTATGCTTCCTTGTTCTGGGACCTTTGATTACCATGCTCTGGTTTCTGGTTACTTTTGTCCATTAAGATTTTATTTGAACTCCATTACCTGTGTGAAATCTTTGACTACCCCTCCCTTTCGACCTCCTTCTTTTCTCAGAACTTTCAATTTATATCTCACACAGCCTCAGACCTGATTATTTTATATGCTTTTATTTTAACCATTGGATCTGCAAGTCTGATTTATTTTCTTGTTTCCAGCCAGGTTTCTGGAGGGAAAGCAACGTATCTAATACTTCTGCTGCTTTATGTACATAGTCAAGATTTAAAAATTGACTGCTGTAGAGCTTAGCAGCAAAGAAATATGTCTTACAGTCTTGTAAAAGAGACATTATGGTAAACACAGTATGTTACTATAAATAAATTCAATAAGTCCTATGAAGCACAGAGAATTATGCTCTGAGAGAATGAAGGCATGGGATGGGGCAAGGGTGAAGTATGTATTGTTGAGAGCTTCAAGGCAAGCTTCTGAAGTGATATTTAAACTGAGTTCCAAAGGATTAATGGGCATTAAACAGGTGACTGGGTAGGGGAAGAATATTCCAGGCAAGAGAATAGTGTGAGGGAAGACCCGAAGACCTAAAAGAAGGAGTGTGGCTAGAATACGGGGAGCATCTGGGAAGAATAGAGTGTGGCCTGGCTCATTCATGGCATTAAAGGCATGGGTAAAAAATGTGAATTTGTGTTGAGTTCAGTGAGAAGCCATTAGAACAATGAAATGGTATGAACTGATTTACCCAGGATCACTGGGACTGCTTTATAGACTGGTTTGCAGAGAGGCAAAAGTGAAGTAGGATCTATGCTTACAGTTTCAAGCTCTGCTCTAGGTTTTCCTTTTTCTTTGATATAAAATTGAACATAGTTTTCCAACATTTTTTTAATGCAAGTAAGATATAAAAATCACAAAATTCAAAGAACACAGATGAAGATTATGAAGTAAAATCACTAATAATAGCTTGTGTATCCACTTTTTCTGTGTTCTCCATGTATGCATTTTACAAATACGTGTTAAAATTTTATGAGGTTATACTGTATGTATTTTTCAACTGGGCGTTTTACATCATATGTCTTAGAGATCTTTGTTACATCATATTAACTCCCTGTAAAAGGACCCCTTTTCTCATTACATCAGCATTGTCTTCTACTATTACATACTCATTCTTGATAATATTTAAATATTTTAAAAAACAGTTATCACAAGATTTCACTACTGCTTATAAAACCTACCATTAATACAGTTCCTCCTCCACTGATTTTCATAGACCTGTCATTTCTGCAGCTGTTCCCAAGTATTGTACAGCAGGGATGTTGAAGCAGTGTCCTTTGGCCATTTAATAACTTCAGCCCACTCCCTGATTTAACTGCTCCAAACTGCACAGCTTTTCTCAGTGTTATTTTTTTCCTTTTTCTTTTTGCCACTACTTTTAAACTTTGCAAACTGTGCACAAAAAGTAATACATTCACCTAGGTAAAACAAATCCTATTGAAAGGCTTATAATACAAACCAGTCTCCCTGCTCTGCTGCTCTTCATGCCACAGAATGGCTTCTCAAAGCACTCAGTTTGAATCCTTTCACTTGTTCTTTATGGTGTTTGCCTTCATATTTACAAATATGCTCATGCAGCTACTTATTTTCCTTTTTTTAAAGAATAAATGCATTCACATGGTTAAGAAAAGAAGCATTAAAATATGCACAATGTTACTTGCAGTTATGCCTAAAAAAGCCAGGAAAAAATGTACACTGAGGATTTTGGACAAGCTGGAGAAGGGCAGAAAACAAATTATACATGAGTAGCAAAGAAAAGATTTGCAAATGTACTAAATGTTTTTAAATGATTAAAGTTATACTATAAAAACAAAGGGTGCACAGTGAAAACTTTCTTTCATGTCCCTGACTCCACTCTACCCAGGTTCTGGTCATTTGCTGTCACAAACTGTCTGCAGTGACTAAATCTTGAGCAAGTATCACTTCACAGCTGTGCCAGGAAATCTGAAGAATAAAACCCCCAAGCTGGACTGCTGAGTGCATGCATTTGTGACTTTGATACATAACTGTTAAAATGTCCTTCTGGGGGGGAGGGTGATACCAATTTACACTTACAAGCTGTGTCACCACGCTTTGGGTTTTTTCCAGTGTTAACAGGTAGAAAATGGCACCTCATTATAGTTTTAATTTGAGTTTATTATATTATGGTATACTGCAATTTTTTTCAGTTTATCAATATTTGATATTTTGCATTGACTTCTTTATGTCATAGATGAAGATTCAGCTCTTTTACATTATTTCTCCCAACATGCCCATCTTTCCAACAATTTGTCAGTCGCATCAGTGATTAATGCTTAGTTGCTTTGACTTCATAATTCTTGTTCCTGCAGAGTCAAATAGTATAATATGATTACAGTTCCTTTTTGTTTGTTTGTTTTTTCCCTTTCCTAAAACTAATACTTGCTTTTTAAAATATATTTTATTTGGGGTTTTTTCCTTTCCATTCTGTTTTACAGAGTTTTGGTTGATTTGGTTAAGTATTGTTTTCTTTTATATATCAACGATTGATTCATCTTGTCTGTTTTCTTGACTTCTTTGCTCACTGCTATTTATTGTATATCATCTTATTGTTAAATTAATTTAAAAATTTTTTGCTACAGTACATTGCTGAATAATTGTTTCAGTAATTGTTTAAATCCTTTCTTATCTGACAAAGTGTCTATTCCTCCCACTGAAATGTTTGATTGGCTGGGTATAGAATGGAATGCTAATTTCACAATCACTTTACCTCAAAATTAGAAGATATTGCTCAGTTGACTTGAGGTATACAATATTGCTGTTTAGTAGTTCATTGTCAATATAATTCTCATTTATATTTGCACATAACCTGGCTTTTCTGTCTGGATGCTTTTAGCATTTTCTGGGTTTGTTTGGGGTTTTTTTCCTTGACGTCCTGAGGTTTCACATTTAGTGACCTCTGAATCTTGAATTCTAGAAAACATTTTTTTCCTGTTCTTTGATCATTTCTTTCCCTTCATTCTACCTCCACTATATTCATCGAACTCCTACAAGATGGGCTTTTAACTTTTATCTTTGCATCTGTCTACCCTTTACTCTTCATTCCAGGAGTACCCCTCAATCTTCCACCTTAGCCAGATGTTCATTTTGCTCTTCAGCCCATCTAGATTGCAGGCCTTAGAATCAGACTGCCTGACACCTGGTAGCTATGACACAAGTTACTTGATCATTTCAACCTTGGTTTCTTCTGGTGTAGAATGGGTGTCCTAATAGTTCCTCTCACATAAGATCATGCAACCAGTATCTGAGTGCTTCAAATGAGCATAGTAGATCTTAAATATTATGATTATCATCTTTTTCAATCCTTTCATTAATTTAGAAGAATTCTGATTATTCTTCATAGCAATGTGTTTATATTTTATTTTATTAGATTGTCCCTTTTTTTTTTTCATGTTTTTTTGCAGTACGCGGGCCTCTCACTGTTGTGGCCTCTCCCGTTGTGGAGCACAGGCTCCAGACGTGCAGGCTCAGCAGCCATGGCCTACAGGCCCAGCCGCTCTGCAGCATTCCCAGACCGGGGCACGAACCCGTGTCCCCTGCATCGGCAGGCGGACTCTCAACCACTGCGCCACCAGGGAAGCCCGATTGTCCCATTTTTTTTAGATGTGATATCCCCTCAGATTTCTCTGGGATTTTAATGATGAACCTTTTAAATTCTATTTCCTCTGTTTGTTGAGTTTGTGTCTCTCTTTATTGATGTTAGTTTTCTACATTTTTTTTTTGTCTCCTTGTTTTCTCAATTGTCTTTTTCCCCCCCTCCCCAAAAGCCTTATGTTCGCAGTATGATACTGGAGTGTACATCCTCAGCTGATGCTCAACCCTTTTTGATGCATGCGTGTTCTACTTACAGGGGACACCTCTGCTGACTGGGCTTGGGATGGATCTAATAAGAATCCAGATGGTGAGTGATGTAGACCCTTTTTTTTTGAGGTTACCTGTTCAGGCCAGTAAGTTATCTGGGACGTGCCCTGCTTCAGTCTCCAGCTCTGGGGTGTCCTCCTTGTCGGAAATTTCACTTCACAGGTTTTCTTGAGGCTTTATCCTGGGTACATGTGGAGTCAGTTGTTTCTTTTTGTACCTCAATCCTGTCATTGTACAGGTTTGGCATTACTTCTGCTTCCCTCTTCAGCCCAAATAATACTATTAGGAGTCCTTGTTTGGCGGACAATTTATTTTGTTTTTGAAGCTTTATACGAGGCCGCTACCCTTAGCCTCCCAGTATTTCATTTCTTGTGGGGAAGAGGGTCATTGGGAGAGTGGTGCTGCAGCCATTAGTTGAGCCATTAGAAGTGCTTAACATGATTTGATAAACCTCTTTCCAGAATAAACCTCTCTTACTTCATAATTGTTGATTCTGAGCTTGGAATTTCTAGGACTTCTTGAGAATTTCGCCTACTTCTTTAGGAGGCTTTTTCTGTACATAATTTGAGCTGTGCATTTGTTTTTTTCCTACTTTCTCCATTAGACCTCATCCATCTGCTCTTTATCACTAGGAGTTCCCCAGCATTCTAGTGATGACAACCTTTCTTTTTTTCCCAAGACTATTGTGGTTTTGTTTTTGGTTTTTTGTCATTTCAGTGTAATGTGAGGATCTTCACGCTAATTGTTTTGAGTAACATACATACCACAGATCTTCCTTGACTTACAATGGGGTTACATTCCCATAATCCCATTGTAAATTGCAAATAGTGTTAAGTCAAAAATGCATTTAATACACCTAATCTACCAAACACCATAGCTTAGCCTAACCTACCTTAATCATGCTCAGAACACTTAAATTAGCCTACAGTTGGGCAAAATCATCTAACACAAAGCCTATTTTATAATAGTGTTGAATATCTCCTGAAGTTTATTGCATACTATACTGAAAATGAAAAACAGAATGGTTATAGGCATATTACTTGGAGCTGTGGCTGCTGCCATTGCCCAGCATCATGAGAGAGTATTGTCCAGCATATTGCTAGCCCAGGAAAAGATCAAAATTCAAAGTACTGTTTCTACTAAATGCACATCGCTTTCACACCACCATAAAGTCGAAAAATCCTAAGTCAAGCCATCGTAAGTCAGGGACCATCTACAGTAAGTCTAAAATCTGTATTCCTAGCACAGTTCTCTCCCAGGAGTTCCAGACCCATGTATCTCACTGCTTACTGAACAGTGCAAGAATGTTCCACCAACACCACAAATTAAACAAGTCAGGTTCTGAGTTTGTTATCTGTCACCCTTCCCCACTCCAGCCTTGGAGATTGATTCCCTATGTTATGGTATAGTACCCCCATACCTAAGTCACTCAAGGAACTTGAGGATCATGCTTGGTGCCTCCTTTCCCTTTTGAGTTTAATCAGTCATCATGTGATTTAGAATGAATCTCTCCCTTTCTCTCCGTAACTATCCTCCTTATCACTTTTCTTCTGATTCACTACAGCAGCGCTCTCTCTCTCTCTCTCTCTCTCTGCCTTAAAGTCTTGCTCATTTTTGATGGTGTTTATAATCAAAGTCAGTCGTTTCACTCCCAGTTGTAATCCTTTAATAGCTTTACATCTCGGAGGAGTCTCTGAGTACACACCAAGCCCTTTGAACATGTCATATTGTCTCTCCGCATTTCACTTTATTTTTTTCCTTACATTTGCTCCCAGAAATCTTCCCCAAGGTTTGAGCTGAATGCCCCTACTCTGTGCTCCCGTGACTGGCTGCGCATGCATCTATGGTAGCACTTACATGGTATTATTGTTGACCTATTTGTTCTTCTTCCCAGTAGGCTCTAGTGTGTCAAGCAAAAGGATTTCTATTTTATTCTTTGTATCCCCAGCACCTATTAGATTACCAATTAAATGCAAATTTAATTAAAATAAAATGAAGTAAAGTGAAATGAAATGTGGCAAGGATGTGGGATCCATAGCCATCTGCAGGGCTGGGGTATGAATACTTTCATTGGCTTTACTTAAAAGCAGAGACAAGATTTCTGTCTTGTGTACCCACGCCCTCTCCCTTCCTGACATTAACCCAAAGGACATGACTATACGGACAAGACTGAACTTTTTGCTAGCTACCTTAGGCACTGCAGTTCTGAAATCTTGAAATCTACCCTTTGTCTGTTATCATTGAATTCTCTTTGTTCCCTAGGAGACTTGAATGAAAATTCTGTGGAGAATCAACAGAAAGGACTTAGGTTATCTCTTGCCTGAATAGCTTTCCTCCTGGCAAATATTGGAAGAGATGTCCAGTACAATAACTGGGAGTCAGGATTAAATTGTGAATCTTCAGTGTACAGGAACCCTGAACTAGATGTTCCCCCTTGTCAAAAGTGGGGAGAAGCATCTTCTCATATTTCCAAAAACAAAAGCAGTTTGGTGACTCTTCAGAGTGATGATTTAAAAAACATGGAAAGTGAAGAATATTTGTCTTTGAAAGTCCCAAGCCAAATGGCCACACAGGACTCAGTGACGTTCTGTAAGAATGAGCCCCAAGATCCTCAGGAAAGCAAAAGTCTGTTTGTAACTGAAGAAAGCACTGAGAGGAAAATCTCAGAGAGCAAAAGTCCTCCCATCGACCATTGTTCAGAGAACCTTCAAAATAAACTTGTGTCTGATGTAAAAGAAGTGGTCTCGCCCTCATTCAGAGGTGAGACAATATGCCACATTGGCCAGTCAAAAGAATCCTTGGATCCCTTTGACTGTAAACACAAGGACATTTGTGGTTGGAAGTCATGGGTGATCAGTCGTAGTCATCAGAGAGCTCATACAGAGGAGAAGCCCTGCACCCATTATGACTGTGGGAAAATACGTACCACCAGCCCAGGTGGTCACCCAGGTGAGAAAATCCACACTGCTGAGAAACTATACAGATGTAGTCAGTGTGGTAGGGACTTCAGTGAGCGCTCAGAGCTAGTCCTTCATCAGAGGGACCACACAGAAGAAAAGCCCTACAGATGTGATCAGTGCGGGAAGGGCTTCACAAGAAGCTCAAGTCTCCTTATCCACCGCGAAGTCCATGCAGATGAGAAGCCTTATAAGTGCGACAAGTGTGGGAAGGGCTTCACGAGGAGTTCAAGTCTGCTCATTCATCACTCAGTCCACACAGGCGAGAAGCCTTACAAATGTGACAAGTGCGGGAAGGGCTTTACTCAGAGCTCCAAACTGCACATCCACCAGCGAGTGCACACTGGAGAGAAGCCCTATGAGTGCGGGGAGTGTGGTATGAGCTTCAGTCAGCGCTCCAACCTGCACATCCACCAGCGCATCCATACGGGGGAGAGGCCCTACAAGTGTGGAGAGTGTGGGAAGGGCTTCAGTCAGAGTTCAAACCTTCACATCCACCGATGCTCACACACGGGGGAGAAGCCTTACCAGTGCTATGAGTGTGGGAAGGGCTTCAGCCAGAGCTCAGACCTCCGCATCCACCTCAGAGTCCACACGGGGGAGAAGCCCTATCACTGCGGCAAGTGTGGGAAGGGATTCAGCCAGAGCTCCAAACTCCTCATCCACCAGAGAGTCCACACTGGAGAGAAGCCCTACGAGTGTAGCAAGTGTGGGAAGGGCTTCAGCCAGAGCTCCAACCTCCACATCCACCAGCGGGTCCACAGGAAAGATCCCCATTAAATGAGGTCTTCAATCGCATGCTTGTACTCTAAAGACTTAAATATTTTTAACATCACTCTTAGTTTTATATTCTCAGGATATAGTAAGAGTTATTCCGATAACTTCCCTCACTGGAAAATCATTTAAAGTATTTAACTACCAAGCACTTTGTTATGCTACACAGTGAATTGATTGCCCTTGTTCCTCAGATGGGTAGAGTGAAAATGTCTATACTGTGCTGTTCAGTCAGTGTTACTAGAACTACATACCCTACCCAGCATTTTTAAGTGCAAGAACCTTATATTTCTCCAAGCAGAACATGTTTCCTTTGTTCACATTCTCTGAGAAATTGGAACTTTGGCTTCTCTTCAAATCACATGCCTTGTGTTTTCCTATTTCCTTCCAGCCCTGAGTAGCCCTCTCTAAATTCTGGTTATACAATGTTAGTTTTAGGTTGAGGGGGTGGTTGGAGGTATAATGGGCATGGAAATCTGTTATTGCACACACGTACTACAGCCTGTGGCCTCACAAGAACGTGGAGAAGAGCTACTCGTGCAGTACACCCCACACACTACAGGATGTGGGAGCCCTCCCCCTCCTCCCCATAAGGCAACTGCTCAGGAACGTAAGTAGTTCTTTTTCCTGGGTGCAGCTAGTCTGTTGGGGTGCTTCCAGGTCTTGCCATCTCAAATGACACCCCCACCAAATTAAAGCCAAGTAGGGTACCTACACCATGTTGAAACATGTTAAATGAAGTTGAAATATATTTAAATGTATTTAATTTGTCTCTCAACACTGAACCTCTCTTATTTCCTTAAATTTCTTCACCATCCATGTTCTGAACCAAACAAAGGAGTCAGGAGAGAGAGTTCTGATATTTTTCTCTTCAGACTCAACTTGTTTTAATATTTGATATACCCCCAAAAAGTCATTTGTTTTTGCAGCATTGTTATTGAACCAGACTGGGGTCTGCTTGCCCATGCACAATAAAGCCAATCTACTTACACTGGGTTGTGAAGGAAGTGCACCATTTACTACAGGGCACCAAACAAGGGGTCCAAGCAGCTAGTGCTCAAAAGGCCTAAACTCCCTGATGGCTTTCAGGGAAAGATTTTAAAAGGGTGAGGAAGGGGGGACTGGGGTGCATGATCAGCTCGTGGACATTCTTCTGATTGGTTGGTGGTGAGTTAATCGAGAGTCAACATTGTCAACCTTCTGTTTCCATCCTGTCTGGGGTCTAATTGCTTGTGGGCAGCATACAGTTTACTTCTTCCACCTGGTGGCAGATTCAGTATCTGCAAAACAGCTCAAAGGACATTGCGCAGAATATTATCTATAGCCCTCCAGGAGGAACTATAGGTCCTTGACTTTATTTAATGGCTATTGTTATTTTGTCTTGCTTGACTGTTTTCCTTTCTTTCTGCATTTTCTCACTTCTCTGATTAAATTTACTCTTTGGAACTCTGGGAAGGCTTGGAGAGTATGTTTGGGATGACCAGGCTTAAAATATACACAACTAATTCACTTGGGGTGTGGAGCTAGGACACCGCAAAGGGTTAAGCTAAAACAAGAAGTTAAGAAGCTTGTGCAACAGTTGAGAGAAACGTGATTGGAAATACATAACTAGAGTGGAAGTTACTATACAATGGACTCCTAATTGCAGCCCTGATTTTCTAAACAATGACTGATGATTCCCCAAGCAGTGCTCAGGAGGCTGCCCAGTCACCTATATTTCAGTTATCCACCAATGACTAATATCCATACATGAAAAATGGTGGGGGGGATATGGATGCAATATTTATTACCTTGAGAAGGTGGGGTTGTAACTGGTTTATCCTCATCAAAGGCAACCTGAAGCAGTTAACTGGACATAGATAACAGGGAAGTGACATGTTAACTTAGGGGAAATGTAGTTAATCTCAAAGAAGGAATGGAGGAGGGCCACAGATTGAGACTTGCCTTCCTTCAAGAGACAGTCCCAGAATATTTGACTCCAACTCAGAGCAGCCCACATGGAATGGTTAGGGTGGTGACCCAGCATCTGCCCTTTGGCATTGTGTAATACACTCACTTGTTTGGATACCGTAAGATGGCATCACAAGTGATGTGATTCTGCTTCAGTGACCTCTAGAATGATGAATGCCTCCCAGTTTCTCCTGCCCTCATAAGATTATATCTGAGCATCTGTTCTGGATTTGACTCGTTTATCATATATGTCTTCTAATTGGCTGATGTATATAATCTATCTGGGACTTGGAGTCAAATAAGATCACAAGAATCCATGTGCACTGAGACCAGAGGGTAGATTTGAAGTCCAAGTTTCAAACGCGTATAAATTAGCCTGTTTTTCCAAGTCTCCTTTTATACGTACCTTAAGTTATCAATGTTTTTAATTATGGTTAGCTTTTACTGTTCTCTTTTAAGCATTACCTTCCTTAATACAACTGAAGTGTGATCAGAGTCCTTGGGAAGCATTTCACTGATTGTAGTAAGGCAGTCTGGGGGAAAAAATTAGTTAGAAAAAGAGACTTTTGCATGAAAATGCAGGAAGAACAACAGGGGATGTGTCACATTTCATCAGATCTTAAAGATGCCAATGGATTGACAAGAGAAAACAGTTTGTTAATTTTTAAGACACACACACCCCAGTTGCAGAGATGTGAACATGAAAAAAAAAGGATATGTTGCAAAATGGTTCCTTTTCAGAATTCAAGGGTTGCCCTAGGATTGATCCTTTACCAGTACTTGACTTGAACAAAGAGCTTTGGAAATTCAGTAATTGTATTCAATTGATAATTCTAACACTAACTTAGCAAAGAATCTAGGTTACAGATTACTTGTTGAGTACTTGAGACAAGATTTTACAATTCTTAAAATTCTTACCGGGCTTCCCTGGTGGCGCAGTGGTTGAGAGTCCGCCTGCCAATGCAGGGGACATGGGTTCGTGCCCCAGTCCGGGGGGATCCCACATGCCATGGAGCGGCTGGGCCCGTGTGAGCCATGGCCGCTAAGCCTGTGCGTCCGGAGCCTGTGCTATGCAACGGGAGAGGCCACAACAGTGAGAGGCCCACGTACCGCAAAAAAACATGAAAAAATAAAAATTCTTACCTATTCGGTAGGTGCTATTTACTTTCTGTGTGGATCATTTAAGATCTTAAGGTCAAAATACTGGTGAATATGTGATCACTACTTGTAGTCACACTTCTAAATTATAACCTTTTAAATTCTTCCTGTCTCATCCCCCACCATGATAGCCAGAGTTAGGGGATAAAATATGGACGTTCACTTTTGCAGCTCCACGACCTTTCTCACTGTACTTTCATTGAAAAGAAAGGCACATAACAGCATGGAGGGCAAGGCTGAACCATAGGTAATGAGGACCAGGAAAAGTCCAAAGCAACATGCCCGAAGTAGTTGCAAGAGTAAAACTGACATTGAGTTGGTACCTGAGAGCAGGTGATACCAACAAGTAGGTTCAAGAGGTAGAGCTGGGAAAAGCTAAGACATAGGGAGTGTGTTGCAACTGATCGGCAGGGGCTATGAAAATCATTCAGGGTTTAGTCAGTTAAGCAAAATGCTTAAGGGGAAAGGACTAGAAAGTGTGCTTTTGTTAAACATCTCTCTGGACAGCATTAAAATCCTAGAAAGTTTTTACGTTTATAATACCACAGCAATAAAGGGAACAAATGAAAAACCACCAGTAAATAGGAGGTCTCAATAAAAATTTGAAATATGGAAGGAGGACAGCTACTGTATCAGAGCAGAAGCAGAGACCATTTATACTACCTGCATTAAGGACAAGAAGGAACCAGCTTGGCTCCAGACTCAGAAATGCTTAATACTGTGGAGGACAGGAGTGAGACATGAAGGGAAAGCAGTGAAATTAGTGGCCAGTCGTATACAGGACATTCCCCTCATTCCATACACACTTGCCCTCCTCCACAACCCCTGTGCATTGTCAACCAGGGACTTACCCTCCAGCAAGAGATGGGAAATTTCTTCTCTGTAGAAATGGCCCTGTTGAATGACCCCTAGAGACCTGTATTTTGACTTTTGTGAATCCAACAGCAAAGCAGTTATCTTCTAGCTCCAATACATTTATAACAGGGCTTCAAAATTCATGAAATAAAAACATGAAATAGCTGTAGGCAGTTTATCAATTATAGTTAGATATTTCAACACTCTCAGGTAATTGATAGCACAAATGGACAGAAAATGACTATCAACTAACTCAACATTTATAGAATACTCCAACAATACTCCAATAATACACATTCTTTTCAAGTGCACATAATACAGGCTATAAAACAAGTTTCAAATGATTTAAAAGAATGGAAATCATACAAGGTATATTCTAGCACTAGAACAGAATTAAATTAGAAATCGCTAACATAAAGATACCTGAAGAGTCACCAAACATTTGGAAATTAATGGCTCCTAAATGTGCCATGGGGTAAAGAGGAGGTAACAGTGAAAATCTGAAAATATTTTGAACTGAATGAATATATAAAACTTTGTGGGATGCAGCTAAAGCAGCATGGAATTTTATTAATAATTATGTCAATAAATTCAGCAACTTAGTTGAAATAGAAAAAGTCCTTGAAAGGTACAACTACCCAAGTTCACTCAAGAAGAAAGAGAAAACCTGAATAGCCCTATTTAAACGATTTGTAGCTGACCACTTTCCCACAAAAACAAGTACAGGCCAGATGGCACAAGTGAATTCTACCAAACATTTACGGAAGACCTAGTAACAACTGTACACCAACTCTTCTAGGAATAAACATTTTCCAACTTATTTTACGAGTCAACATTACCCACATACCAAAGCCAGACAAAGACATCACAAGAAAAGAAAATCATAGATCAATAACTCTCATGAACATAGATGCAAAAATTCTTTTAAAAAATAGCAAATTGAAACTTCTAATCTATAAAAGATGGTAATGCATCGTGCCCAAATAGGATTTATCCTAGAAATGCAAGGTTGCCTTAGCATTCAAAATCAATGTATTTCATTATATTAATATACTAAAAAAGAAAAACCATATCTTTATAATGTAGAAAAAGCATTTGAAAAAATTCAACACATTCATGATTTAAAACTGTCAATTAGGAATTAAAGGAATCACCCTCAATCTAATAAAGGGCATTTATGGAAGAACATATATCTGACATCATATTTTATGGTGAAATAAAGAGCGGTTTCCTCCTAAGACTGGGAACAAGGCAAAGATGTCTACTCACCACTTGTAGTCAACGTTGTCCCAGATGTTTAGCCTGTGCAACAAGGCAATAAAAAGAAAAGACCCCCACCCTCCGCGCACCTTGTGCTGCCGTCCCAGTGTTACCAAATCAGGTCTGGATGCTTGCTGCTCAGAAATCAATACTCAAGAGACAAATGTTGGTAGAAAGGAAAGTTGCTTTTAATCAGAATGCTGGGGAGATGGTGGACTCCCCAAAAACCACCTCCCAAGATTCTGCTCAGCCATGAGAAGTTCTTAAAGGGAAAAGGTAAGTAATCTCAGTTAATCCTTGAGATAGGAGGTCAGAGGCATCGCCATCCCCCACTGCATGCAGGCTTGTCATGCAGGCTTGTTGACTTCTTATGATCTTTCTTTCAGTACTGTCTTGTTCACACAGTTTGTTCGCAAGATTACTGAAGGGGAAGCTAGGGAAGAGATCGGGTCATGTGTTAATTACTTATTCATTTCTACTTCTTTGATCTATGGAAAGAACCAACAGATTAGGCAAGGTATTATGTGATCAATAGGGCCAGAGATGAGTAGAGCATGGGGGCACCTGGTTTAAGGTTAGTGACAAGACAAAAGCGGCCTCCGGCAGAGAGCTCTCTCCAGCAAAGAGCTTTTTCCTGCCAAAAGCTGCTTACAAACCCCCACTTGTCAGAACATCATTCCATTTTTATTGGATTATGGTCGAAGGTCTGTCTTCTGTAACTTCATGCTGACATAGGGCACCATATTCTTAGAGTGGAAGATGTCGA